GCAGACTGGACACAGGACAATAGACAGGACTGAAACCCAAAACACAACAGACAATATAACGGATACAGAACTGACCAAATAACAAATAATACTACTACTACTTTACATTGTAGCAAAGTGTCATTTCTTCTGTGTTGTCACATGAAAAGATATAATTAAATATTTACAAAAATGTGAGGGGTGTACTCACTTTTGTGAGATACTGTAGTTCGTAATATTGCAAATGCAACGGCTTTCATTAGTGGGTCATATGCTCCATAATCATTGTGTTACCTCATTCGGCAATAGATGGTGACTTAACAGACAATTATGTAAATGAAAATCTTAGGGAATATGGAGGATTATGACCCGATACATTTTAAGATATGAAAAAGTGGTGTCTTCACTGTAGGTTTTAGATGTCTCACCTGCACCCATTACCACTGCAACTCTGCACATCATAACTCCCTAACACAGTAACACAAGCCAGTCTATTAGTCCACCAGTTATGTTTTTTCTGTCCATTTGTCAACCCGGCCACGATCCACCTCTTCTTGCAGTCATATGTGCATTTAACCACTACCACATTTTTATTCTCAGCATGTACAAATCCAAAGAAAACACTGACTAGCTGATTAGCAAACTATCTGTATTCAGAACTACAGTGGTGGCAACATCACATAAGAACATGATACCTTAGACCATCTTGGCAATTCATTCACTGCCTAAACCCCCACATTGCATCTCACCCCCATGTTATCGCACATAGTGCAGATTGTATGGACAGTTGAGCCTTCTTTATGGGAACAGCAGTCATTACAAAACCTTGTATGAGTGGCGTGCAAACGGCAGATCATATGTCATTCACAGTGTTGGCTCTAGGTTTATCTTCCATTGATCCAGCCAGCCTGATAAAGCTGGGATGAAGGACCTGAATAGTGACCTTCCTTGTTCAAGAGGTTGTAAATCTCATTTCAAGTCAATCTCCAGCTGTAAATACCAAGACAAGTTCTGTGTTACCCCTGCTGTTTTCCAATCCCAGAAGCACGGTTACTCATTTATATCACTTTCTTTGTTTCTATGCCAATTAATAAAAACAGAATACGGTATGTCTTTGTCAGCGTTATTGAAACAACTACAGGGAACTTTCTTTTTTGTGTTGATTCTGGCCCCTGTGGACAAAAGCAGTTGTGTTTCCTCCTGTAGTAAAGATGTTGATCAGGCTAGCACATGCGTTTGGTTTGGAAGCAAGTGAAAGAAAGATGCAACTTATTTTAAAACTATTTTTATTGATTTTGTTATTTGAGGATTTTAAAACCTTTTTTTTTTTTTTCAGAAACAAAAATCCCCCCCCCCCCCCCCCCCCCTAACATTTGTTATGTGTAGTGATGAGACCTCACCAAGATAACATGACATAATGACCTTTTAGTACTTTGAACAAATGTGCGGCTGATTATGTCAGCTGATTGCGATGTTTTGTGGCATTCCAACAGCACCTGTGTTGCCAACAGGGGAGTTGCAAAGTGCCCTCTGTTGGACACACTGTGGAACGACAACACTCAGAACATGATTGAAGAATCCGTCCCTCCGTTTCTTTTTTAATTGTCATTTATCGGCTGATATAAACACAGGTACCAATTTATCTGCAATTAGCCCATTTATTTGTGGCTATGCAAGATTAATAACGGTAATATAATGATGGTGAAACAAAGTAAACTTGTTTTGGTACCATTCATACACCTAGGTTACATGTAAACCTACAACTAACATAAAAGCATCAAAACATCAAAGCGCTTTTACACTGCACGTCACATTCACCTCATTCACATGCTGTTGGCACAGGCCACCATGCAAGGTGCCAACTGCTCGTCAGAAAGAAACTAATCATTCACACACACTCAAGACATCAAAGGGACACCCTTCAGGAGCACGTTGGGGCTGAGGATCTTGCCCAATGAAACTGGGGATCGAACCGCCGGTCTTTTGATAACTGGTCTCTAGACCACAGCCGCAAATAAAAATTCCACTTCAGCCTCAGTCATGCAGTCCTTCAAAAATGAGTAATGTCAGCAGATGCCACTGACAGAATGAAATGCAATGCTTGTGGTATGACATGTTTTCCACCATTTGACGTTGTGGTATGATGAATAACATATCTGGGAGTGTTCAACACCAGTGGACCGTTGGTAATTTTTAAAACCCGGGATGAAGCAAGTCGCAGAGAGTTTAGCTGGAGTGAAAGCATGGCAGCACTCTGTGAGGAAACTGTAAAGATGTGATCCTTTGCGGACAATAGTCTTACTTGGGGTGCTAACCCATGGTTCGTCTTTCCCAGTTTCTCAGCACACTGATAAACTGCAAAGAGATAAATCTAATTTTTACATTTTATCCCATTAACAGTGTCCGAAATGCCGTTTTTAATAAAGTAACTAACAAACGAATAGGAAAAAAAAAATCAGTTTGTCAATAACATCCTCCAAAACCAAAATTAAAAATTCAAGAACAAATCAATAGTGTGAGAAAAAACAAAAACAAGTAGCAGGCGGTGGCGGTCGGTGAAACAACAGCAGCGACCAACAGTGTCTTATTCTTTCAACAGAAAAACAGCAACCAGGCTGTGTGCATATTAATCACGTTTTTTTCTCCTTACTTCCTCCCCCTTCTGTCCCCTCTTCAACACTCCTCCACTCCTGTCTCCGCCTCGCTCCTCTCATCTTCTGAGACTATAATCACTGGGCTTACACTTCACTGTCACTCCTCAATGCCTGCGTGAATCTGTGGGCTTCTGTATTTGTGTGCCTGCATGTAGCTACTGTACGTGTTTACAGTACGTGTGCATTTGTGTGTTGCTCTGCGCTGTGTTCTGCAGGCCTGCACATTCGGGGTGGTCAACCCCCTGGGGTGGGTGGGTGTGTTTGTGTGTGTTTGTATGTATGTGGGCTAAGATTGCTGCTTGCTTGATAACCACGGAATCCATGTTGGTTAGCATCATTAAGCTGTTATATAAGCGTACATGTGCACACATGTGAATAGGCTACATAATCTACATACGTGTTTATCGGACAACAAGTTAGCAGGCCTGTATTCTGGCTCACAGGGAATGATATTAAAATAATGTTGCTTTCTTAACACGATATGTTTTCTGTTAACCTTATGAAACCCCACAACCCGCCACCACATTTACTTAAAAAAATCTCCAAAAATACACCCTTTATCATAGTCAGAAGCTATAAAAACAGAAATGATCTTCTGTTTCTTACATTTCCGATGGTCCTGGATAACATCGTAGATGAACGCTTTCATCAGAAAAAAACTACCAAATCTAAGCTTCAAATTGTGACCTTTGATTCAAAAATTTCCCCAGAAGATTATTATATTTATATACTATATCTATATACAGATAGATGGATGGATATATAATAAGATTTTTTTTTAAGTGTAACTGTTCAACTACCTTTTTGGTACAGTATGATAGAAACAGGTTTAAAGGTGAAAAGTATAAATTGAAGTTTGTTTTTGAAAAACATAATATATTTAGATGTGGAGCTGACCCCTAGTAGTGCTGTGGAGCAGTTTTTTTAGTGTTTCTGAACGTTGCGCTCACACTTGAATGATGCTATACACAATCCTGGCAATTGTTTCTATCTACAGGACACAGGGCACCTTCATATTATCCTCATATTCAGGTTTATCATTTTATTTAGGGTTGAACAGGTTTATGTGGTTTCATTTTCAAATACACCATATTTTTTTGTCATACTGCACATTGCTGCAGCTCCTCTTTTCACCCTTTGTTGAATGCTTCATTTTAGCTATGGAGTGATGCATCTCACCTCTACATGATCTTTGTTGGGAGTTGCACATGCGCAGTTCCTAGTTAAGGATTACTAGCCAATCAGAAGCAGAGTAGGGCGGGTCCTGCAAGGCCGGTAAACAGGGCTGCAGTTCAGCTGTAGATGTTCCCCTTACCAGCTTAGCAACATGGACTGGAGCAAGATTTTCAGAGTGGTGAGTTATTAATCTGTAACAAATAAAGTTTTAACTGAGCACTGTCTGTACATCACAGTAACAACTTTATGTCCGTTGACTGCTTGGAGGGTAGCGAGTGCTTGGAAGGGAGAGGAGAGGCAGCAAGCAAACGTCTTGTGCTGCAGCTCAGTCTGAATCTAACTAGTGCTGAGCAATATGCCAAAAAAACATCATATTGAGTTTATGTTGAAAGATATTATGTGTCACAGTGTTAGTGGAAATGGTAATTTTTGCGCTTAATTTTCACTGAAAAAAATATAACAATCACGACATATCTGTAGCAGCACAATGCATCATTTATCGCTCCTGATTAATTGTCGAGCCCTAAATCTGACCTTTCTTTGTTTGGTTTGAGTGGATTAAACGATACTTTCTCGTCCCCACACAAAGTTGTTTTGCCTTAATAAAACTGGGTCTGGCTTTGGAGAAGTGTGTTGTTTTTTTTTTTCTTTTGTTTGTATTGAAATGGCACAACGAAGGCATGACTATAGGGAGATGAAGCAGACATTTGCAGTGTGCCTCATATTGCACATCCATTTGTTGATTTCTGCCCCCATGTTAACTTTGAATGCTCATTTTAATAGATGGATTGAAAGCACTGCTTTACCTTTAATTTATTTGTTGTCAATCTATCCATTCATCCGGGAAGCACCAATGATCTTGTCAAAACCTGGAGCAACAACTCATTATATTTCAGGTTTTATCGAATTTACCCCACTGGGTAGATCTACATACTGAAGTTAATTGTGTGTGTGTTTGTGTGTGTGTGTGTGTGTGTGTGTGTGTGTCAGATCTCACAGTGGATTTTTGTAAAACTTTGAAATAGCATATCTCAGTCACCACAGTGTTTTGACATTTTCACATTTAACCTGATTGTCCCAAGCGGGCTGCTAGAATATCAGGTCATAATGAGATAGCGTATGCAGTCATACTATAAGAATAACTCCTCATTATCTCTCTTTCTCTTTTTCTCTACCTCCGTTGCCCTTCAGATCACCAGAAGTTGGAGCGAGAGGCTCGGATTTGTCGCCTCTTGAAACACCCCAACATCGGTGAGGCCATGTCTTTCTATTTTCCTGTTACCACCGACATTTGTCTGATTAAATAATAGAACTTTTATCAAAATGAAACCCAACTATTACCCGTACTTCAAAATAAAGATCTATTTGTTGTTGTTTTGATTTTGCAGAACATCCATTCATTACATCTTATCACAAAATAAATCACCTGTGTACTACCTTGTGTAAAGTGAAATAATTTTGTTAGTATTACCTTAAAACGTAAAACGAAAGACTATTAGAATGACTATAAGAAAAAATAGAAGAAGTAATACACAGTACTATAATACTAGCAGTGTTTTACTGCTGCTGCTACTAAGTAGTAATTCCATAACTTGCGATTCAGAGTTGCACTGAAAAGACAGATGCACAGATGCAGACAGATGTTATGTTTAACTGAGTCTGAAGCACAACGACTGGGTTAGAGGAGAGCGACTAATTTAAAAGCCATCGCTTTAAACCATGTAGGCGGTGACTTAGAGCATGTTCAGTGGTGTAACTGGGACACTGGGCTGCTTGTCATCATAGAAACAGATCATATGATTGTGATGTTTATTGCAGCTTGAGTAATATCTGCTGCGTCCAATCAGAGCGGGCAGAACATTGAGCGAGACGACAGAGTGGTGACTACATACAGAGAGAGGCGACTACATCAGAGCCAAAGTAGCGCATTTTAAAATTAATTTGACTCAACTCCGTAAAATGATCCAAGCATGACTCAGAACCACAGTATGATCCGAACCGTGAGTTTTGTGACCACTGGGAATTGTGGGCATTTGTGGGTCTCTGTAAATAATATTACAAAGAGTACAGTCTAGACCTGTGATAACTTTAGTTATGAATTGGCGTTAATTATAATTAAATTGGATTGAAATGAATTGAAAGTGTATCCTAATATCCATCTATTTCTGTTGATTAAGTAGACCAGAGTAAGTCTTGCCAGAAGCCCTTTTCATACTGTAAATATATATGATGTAAGACTCAATTATTTTGACTCCCTGTGGTTTCTACCCCTCACCCACTCGCACTCCCTCTTGATCTCTCCTTTATCTTTTTTTATTCTCCTAGTTAAAATGCAGCACAGTTACCCTGTGTAATCAGAAATGCATTTTCAAAAACAGTTTATAGTTTCCAGCTATGCTCAGACAGGGAACTCATAATAAAACACAATAAAATAACAACAAATATCCTGAAAAACAGACATTTAAGTCCTAATCTGTGTATCTTTCTCCTCCAGTTCGCCTTCATGACAGTATATCAGAGGAGGGCTTCCACTACCTCCTGTTTGACTTGTAAGTCGTCCTCCTCTCTTTCCCCACCCCTGCCTACATATACAATTATATAACTCTCTCTTCCTATATTACCCCACCACCCACACCCTCCACATCCATCTCTTGGCATTCCCTCTAGTTTCCATGGTAACGGTGTGGAAAGGGGGAGGATTGGGGGAAGAGGGGTACCGTAGGAAACAAGTGATGAAGTATGAATCCTTGCTTTATAGCCTTTATAGCCCCCCCCCCAGACCTCCTTCCAATCCAAGCATCCCAATTTGAATAAGTGTGTGTGTGTGCAGGGTGACCGGAGGTGAACTGTTTGAGGACATCGTAGCCAGAGAGTATTACAGCGAGGCCGACGCCAGGTAGGAACACAGCTGTTACTCCTGTGTGTGTGAAAGGGCTTCTCCTTGTCCTTAAATGGTCTGTGTCTTCTGTTGTCTTCTCTCGTCTGTTCTTTCTTAGTTTTACATATTTCTCCTTTTCTTATGTGACTCTTACGCTTCACTCTCTTTTCTACTCTTTAATCGTCTTCTTCTCCCCTTCCTCTTTAACTCTACTTTCTGCTCTGCTCTGTCTTTTCTTTTCCTGTTTTCTGCTCCTCACATCCCTTCTTTGCATGTTTTCTTATTCTTTGCTCATATTTTTTAAAAGGTTTGTCTTCTCTCGTTCCAGCTGTTTCCCTTTCTCTCTTTCTGTTAAATTCTAAGTCAACCTCCTATTTTCATATCATCACCATATGTTTTCTTTTCTCTGTACTTCTTTTCCTCCTCCTTCATTTTTCGCTATTCCTCCTCTGGCCTTTACTTTCAGTATTTCACCTCTCACTCTGACACAGGAGCAATGTGTCTTTATGTCCTATCCAAGGTTTGACCAATATGGATTTTGAAAGCCAAATCAGATTTTTAAAATGCCGCTTTTTCGGGTTTTCAGTTGTGAAAAGTGCAGTGGTCCCAGAGTCTATTTTGGACTGGACAGTGGCCCATTTCAGTAAAATTGACATTGAATGGGAGTTAAGAGTCTGTGAGTTAGTGCCTCAAATTGCAGCACATCTAATATCTTGTAGTAAATATTAAGCTACCAACAGAGTTCTGTTTGTAATAAATGGACAAGTGATTTCTGCAGTGGATAACACGCCACAGCGAGAAGCACTGAACCTCAGGACATAACAATTACCTCGCTAATAATAGTAAAAACTACATTGTTTCTCACATTGAAGGTCGCTGATATTTGGAAAAATACCAACAAACTCTTATTGGTCAATCCTTAAGTATGTGTCTCTTAAATTATCCAATTAGCTTGACTGGTGCAGGTGGTCTAGGGTGTCCCCCTACTATGTACTGTATTTCCACCTTCATTTCCCCCCATTTGCTTTCCCTTAGTCAAACAGCAGGAGAGATAAAAATAAGTATGTAAGCAGAACAAAACAAATGGCCACCTATAGTGTTTCTGTCTGTGTGGACAGTCTCACCTTCGCTATTTCTTTTCTTTTCTTCATTTTCATTCAGCCCTCTTCTTTACTTTCTTTTTCACCCTCACCCCCCTGCCACTACCCATGTTGTTTTATATCTCACTCCCACCACACGTGCTGACTCATCGACACACATAAGTTCATTTTAACCAATGACTGAAGAGGGAATGGAGTAGTGGGGGGGTGTGGGGTGGGTGGACAGACAGTAGGCTGACAGAAGAGTGTGAGAGATACTTAAAAATGACAGTTGTGATGTGGGTGTTAGTCCATTCAGTTAAAACCACTTACTAAACTAAATAGTCCAATATTGTAGAAATGCATGCCAATATGACGCAGTAAATGGTTGTCTTCAGCCCTTGTCTCTACCCAACCATTTGACTTATAGCTTGAGTGAACAGTGAACTTGGGTAACTTGAGCAAACTGTTTGCAAACCAGTTTGTATTACATTCATTAAAAATGCTTCCAGTCTTAAATGTCCGTTATGTAACATTTGATGAAAGAATGATTTTCAGTTTACGTAACTGAGAAATTAGATTTTCTGATGAATCTACTGAAAAATGTCTCTTTGATATCCTTGGGTAGAAAGTGACCCCAGAGCTGTAGTGCACAGTTTACTGACATCACATTACTTGATTGCTGGGTAATGAAGTCCTCAAAATCCACTTGGCCTGATTGTTGTGTACAACAAGTAGTCTAAAAACAATTCAGTTGGGGGCAAGAGTGGCATGCTTTGGCTCACAGCTCAGCTTTTAGTCAGTTCAGTAAGCTCCATCATCAATTAAATCAAGCTTGATATGGCCTAGATTATTCGGTCTAGAATTCATTTTTGATCTGGTTTTAATGAAGTATTCAGTAAAATGTTGTTTTGATGACAGTTGTTGCTGCCATGCCTCGCAGCAGCAACAACTGAGTGGTAATGAGGCACACATGTCACTCACAGCAGTCTATAATTTGTTCTCTTTGATGCAAACACACAAATAGTGACTTCTAGAAAATATAAAATAAACTGTGTGAGGGTATGAAGAGGGTATAAACACACAATTAAAGTTTTTATGACCTTTAAACCCATTTGCAGCTACCAGAAAACTTAAAAGTATAGCTACAGCTCTCTGCTCCCTTTCTAGAGTCTTTGTTGATTTTTAACCACCAACAGAAATTGTGAGGAAGGCCTAGACATAATCAAATTATTTTTGCACTTGTATCCTTCAGTAAAATCAAAGCAAATCAATACCATTATGATTGTTCAATATGTGGAAAATGTCTTCCCGAACAAATCTTTAGCTTAATGCAACTTATTCATTAACAGTAAGAGTGTGCTAGTGTATAAATACCATCTGCATGAGATGTCAACATATATAGTTACAACTAGAAGCCCCCCCTTTAATGTATTAAATGATTATGACAGCACATCTGAAAGATTTTTAATACAGAAATCTGACTTTCATTCACTAAATCTGCGTTCTGATGGATGACTCAAACTGTTCAAGAAAAAATAGACAGCCTGACTCACACATTTTATACCCAAATCAGAGAGAAAGAGTGTGTGTGAGAGAGAGAAAATATTTTCACTGTAATTGATATGAAATTATACACATAAAGCAATGAAAAAATATCAGTTGTAGCTCTGTTGGGCTGTGTTGTTTCACACCAATGATAAGGATCTTTATATCATACTGGCCTCAGTATGTATAGACAATTCCCATCATTAATAAGAGATTACTGTATTGCAAAAACATCTTTCCTTATGTTTTTGCTCTCCTGCACCTTGGAGGACGTGCAAAGCTGTAACAGATTTGTTGCCCTTTTACACTGGCAGGCTTCAGCTGTGCCTGGGTTAGTCGCTCAAACCATAAGTGGCAATGTCCAAAATAGGCTGGCTTATTCTGTTTGTGGATTGTACAAGGCGGTCATTAATCTTTTGCCTAAGTTAACTAATTTCAGTTTGCTAATTATCTAGGATTTTTGCTTGTTCATCTCCTGTGTGCTCAGGAGAATCGTTGTTTTGTCAAAACTGCATATTTAGCAGTCTGTAACAACTGCCAGCAAATATCTCCTGATGCCGAGGAACTTGTGTTTTGGCTTTGGTCCAGTCATTTTTGCCAGCTAACAAAGGCTGAAGTGATGCACAAGACGTCCATGCTTGATGGGCTGTAGCCAGCTCATTTAATGGAAATCTTAATGTGCGTGCTTATAATTATTATTATTTTTTTCGTTTTGCAAACAGAGTTACAGTAATTTACTCTGTGTGTGTGTGTGTGTGTGTGTGAATGTGTGCGTGTGTGCAGGCCATGTAGCTACCATATGCTATAGTGCTAATAACTGCTTATCTAAACTCCCTAGTGATTGATGCATTTCCCACCCACCTTGTAACCCTTGCAATACTCATCCTTGGCTCATGTACACACACACAGACACACACTCACTTTCTTTTCCCCTCCCTTCTGAATGCCAGTCATCCAGGCCAGTCCCTCCCACCATCCCACCCTCACTCCCTCAGAGACCTGCAAGAAGTGGGACTTTAATTAGCTGCGATAATTAGCCTCACACACACTCTCGTGCAGTCACACAGACCCCAAACTGTGCTTCATCACACCTTGCTGCACACACACCTATGTCAGAATCTTTCACACTTTTTCCTCAGTAATTTGGTTGGATTGAGACCATTATGAGTAGAGTGAATTACACCTAAAGCTGTATGAGGGATGTTTTCATCACTAGGGAGCTGGCAGACTCAAAAACAAAGTCCCACAAACACAGCACTGTTGATTTATTGAATTATTTTCGCTAACATGTTAGCAAACCCTTACCTGCACGCACATTCAGGATACACAGAAACATGAGCTTCCTTCCGAACACCTGATGAACGTAAGTCTAATATTCACACAGCACTGCTTTTGTCCACCAACCTTTGACCAAAATATCTCTCTAGTCTTTAGCTACTAGATGCTGCCATGGATAGTTTATGCTTGAGTTTCCATGGTGAACTATTTAACAAGATCATTTTGTTGTTTTTACGTCCTCACATTTAATTATTTTGTCACACAGCACTGAAAGCATGGCAGGAAACATAAATTGTTCCTGTCCTGATTCTGTTTTGCAAGGCAACACAAGCTTGGACATGCTTTATTTCAAGTCCAGTGTGTATTTGAATATTGAAAGCAAACACAGGCATATGAGAGGTACATGAGGTGCCCTCTCTTGACATACAGACTGGTTCTGTGTTTGGTTTTCCTCCCAGTGTCTTTTTACTTCCCTGCAGAGAACAGTGGGACACTGTAGCTCAAAGTGCTGAGCAAGTCGCATATTTTGGCAAGTGTGACAAGGGCTGCACTTTTTTTCCCTCTTTGCCCCACCAGGAGTTCATCAACAGACGAGTCCTTTGGAATGACATAATGGTTTTGGACAGGGAGATATTGGAGGCACACAAAAACAGGCAAACAAAGGAGTGTTCTCCTCTTTCTAAATGCCATACATAACGGGTCACTGACAGGTCAAGCAATGTGTCCATGTATGCTTACGGTAAAGTTTATTTTTTCTTTCACTTTATATCATAGAGTAAAAGTCAGCGAATACTGATAACTGTGTGACCCATGCACAATGAAACAGCTGAACCACACTAGCAAAGGTTTTGTTTGTCCTGTACACCCGTCTATGCGGTCCTGTAGTTTTACCATCATTAACAGTTTGAGTCATCCATCTCAGGGAGGTTCTGCAATTAAGGGGAACGAGGTCTGCATCATTTGTTGGTGATGATGAGAAGTGATATTTACTTAAGCAGCTTAAGCAGACGATTCAGCAAATCATCTGGTCAGTTTATGTGAAGGTTCTTTCTTTACTCCCTCGGTGCACAAGGCTCTTACTTTAAAGCTATTTTACTCTCTTGCTTGCTTTGGATCATTGTTCACAAGTGAGTGGTGTGATTAGTGATCACTCGTAACCACACCTAGCGTAATTTCACAGCACACTGACACATCCTGAAGTACACTACGTCACTGCAGCAAGGTGAGAAGTTAAATAAGTCTGAAAAAGGATTATATAGAGTTTCCTGACAGGTGCCACTGCCGCATGACAATTTACTTCTCAAGGTTTCTGTTACAAAACATATAAAACCTCATGGTAGAATAAGGTTTAAATAAGGAAATGAATGCAGTCAGTAGGAAGTCATGTTTTATTATAGAGTTTTGTGTATAGAAGTATGTGTGTGTGTTTATTAGCAAGCATGCACATATATCTCTCATTCTCTCTCTCTCAGTCCTCCCACTCACTAGACACTGTGTGGGTGTGGATCCTGCAGGCTGCCTGTCTCTTTGCGCCTGCTATTAGTCACATATTCTGCACATTACACTTTCTCACCAAGCCTACATACACACATAGTTAAATGTACACACACACGCGCACTCACACGATAGAGTGCGTTAGGTATGTTACGTATCTCCTGCAGTGCACACACAGTGATGTTTTCCTTTTAAGTGATGGAAAAATAGCCTGGCACCAGCCCACCAGTCTTCTATGATTCAGTTTCATCCTATTCATAAGTTCTATTTCTTGTATTGTTATCTCTCTTTGCTCTTTAAAAGCTCCCTATCTTCTCTTTCACAATCTTTCACCTTTTTTCTTTGGGTTTCCTCCTTTGTCAGTGTTGTTGTGATATTTGTCTGGCAGGTTGTTCTCCTGTGGCTGCTCTTGTCTCTCATCATGTTTTAAAAAAGCAAAACGAAACGTTTTTGTCTCCTCCATCCACATTAACGCATCACTCCCCTTCCAACTTCTGTCTGCATCAATCTCCCTCTCCTTCACCACTCTCTTGTCTTCCGCCTGTTATCTGTCATCTCCTCCTCATTTCTTCTGACATGTCATTTGGCCTCGCCTAATCCAACCTGCCATTTTCTCATCTTCAATTTGTCGTTTTCATCTTGCACTGGCGCTGCCCATCACTCTGTTCACCTGTCAGCCTCTTCCTTCTCTTTCATCCCCCCCTTGCATTTCTCCACCTTAATCCTTTTCTGTCTCTGATCCATCCATCTGCAACCCTATTTTCACTCCCCCT